TTCCGCGCACCCACTAAGTGCAGACGCTGTTCTGGATGAACTGACAGTCGCAGTGGAGCAACAACAGCAGGTAAACAAACGGGAAGAGCCGTCCCGCAGCGTAGCGCTGTGAATAGTGGCCTAGAGTCAGCAAGACTCCCTGGGGCAAGAACCTGGTAATAAACTTAATGACAAGTGACAGGATTCGAAAAGGTAATTTGAACCCTGGCGGTTGTTGCTCGATGGTTAGAGCATCTGCCCGCGCACCCAAGGATCTTGGGTTCGATTTCCGGTCAAGGGCATGTACCCGGGTTGCAGGTTCAATCCCAGGCCCCAGTTAGGGCACGTAGGAGGGGCAAACCATGATGTGTCTGAAATCAATGTCTTTCTTCCTCTCTCGCCCTCCCTCCCACTCTCTCTAAAAATTAATGGAAAAAATATTCTCAGGTGAGGATTAACAACAACAAAATAGGCGACTTGAATGAATGAAGAGATATTCCATAGAACTGTATTTGGAAAAGTTACTGCTATAAAGCTATTAATTTTCCTCCAAATAAGCCTATACACTTAACAAACTTAACAAAATCCAATAAAAACACCTGTTTTGATTTTTTTTAAATATTTTTGTTGAAAGTATTACATGTCCCCCTTTTTCTCCCATTGACCCCTTCTAGCCCACCCCACCCCCACCCCCACGCTCCACGCCAAACCTTCACCACCCTGTTGTCTGTGTCCATGGGTTATGTATATATGCATACAAGTTCTTTGCTTGATGTCTTCCCACCCACTCACCCTTCCCCGTCTTCCCTCTGAGATTCCTCAATCTGTTCTATGCTTCTATGTCTCTGGATCTATTTTGTTCATCGGTTTATATTATTCATTAGATTTCACATATGAGTGAGATCATGTGATACTTGTCTTTCTCTGACTGGCTTATTACGCTTAGCATAATATTCTCCAGGTCCCCTCCATGCTGTTTCAAAGGGTAGATCCTTCTTTTTTTTACTGTTACATAGTATTCCATGGTGTAAATGTACCACAGCTTTTTTATCCACTCACCTACTGATGGACACTTGGGCTGTTTCCAGATTCTAGCTATCAAAACTTGTGCTGCTATGAACATAGGGGTGTATACACTCTTCTGATTGGTGTTTCGGGTTTCTTAGGGTATATTCCTAGAAGCGGGATCTGAGACCCTTCAGTCCTTGAGCCAACGCTCTAACTACTAAGAAAAACCAGGTAAGGCCCAGCTAGTATCATTTTTTATTCAAAGGTTATGTAGATACTGTCTTGTAAATTACAATGCTTAAAGATTTTTAAATCAGCTTTTTCTGTATTTCTAATTTTGAAAGTTTAATCTGCCTGTATAATGCATACCGTAAAATATTGGCATTCTTTACGTCTAAGTGTATCATCAATTTTTGTAAATGTCCCATGAAGAGTTTCAGGAAGCGTATAATGTCTGAGGAATTTGAGTTTTTCCATCTATTGGCTGTAATCATTTGATTGAGGGATTCAGGACTTGCACGCGCAGTCTTGTTTTTTTATCAATCTACAGTCTGTTCAGATTGTAGAAGTTGCGTATCAAAGTCCACACAGAGGCATATCTCATTCTACCTGCATTTCTAATCGGTGTTTTTTCTATTTAGTTACCACCCCGTTAGTTGCATGGACGGGTTCTGACTGCGGCCACCCGGCTGGGATTCCGGGGCGGACCCTCTGAGTCGCTGCGGCCTCCAGCCGCCGAGAGC